CATGGGGGATGACATCGACTGGCTGGACCTGCCGGGCAGGTGGACCTACGGCGTCTGCGGGGACGGGCGCATCTTCTTCATCAAGTACGGTCCTGCCTGGCAGCTGGCACGGCGCGGGGGCTGCCGCGGGGACGGGCTTCATGCAGGGGTGCCTGGCTGGGGGGGGCTGTGCTTAGTCTGGGCTGGGAACACGGGGGTACCCGCTGCTGCAAGCCTCTGCATCTGGCTGCTTCCCTATCACACACTCATCTCTCCTTTTCCCTCTTCTTCTTTCTCCTCGGGGCTCTCCGCTCCCTCAGCCTGATGGATGCTGTTCCCCTCTGTCCCTAAAATCCGGTCCTTTCATTCCTTTGGCTGGAAAAGTCACCCCTGTTGCAAAGACCCTTCCCTGGCGATGGGAAGGGGCTCCCTGGGCCCGCGGGGGTGCTGACAGCCCCGCTCCTTGTCTTCCGCAGCGACGAGACCAAGTCCACGAGTTGGGTGCACCCCGGCACAGGCTACTCCATCCAGAGCGGGCACTTCTCCTGCGCCGGTAAGGAACGGCTCCTGGGTCTTGGTGTTTGCTCTCTGCCCTCCCCAGACACCGATCAAACTCTGGAGGCATGGAGTGAAATCCTGCAGAAATGCAGTGGAGAGAGACCCTGAAAAGCTGAGCGAGGGCTGGGGGGCTTTCTGAGTGATGAGTGAGGTGATGCTGCATCCCTCGGGCATGGGGTTGCTAGCTGGAGATATGTTCTTGGGGGGGCTTTAAAGTGTCCCCTTCCACAGAGCTGTCTCTGTGACCTGTCACTGCTGGGGAGGGAACCCAAACCACTTTAAAAATGCCGTTTGAGCACGTCTGAGCCGACCACGGCAGGACATGGCACCGCACAAGTGTCACGATTATCCCGCAGCTTCCTGCCCATGCGCTCCTGCCCTTCCCTAGTGCTGTGTCCTGCGAGAGGGACCTCATCTGTGGTTGTTTCTGGGGGAAATGGGGTCACCGAGCACTGCTAACCTCCACTGCTAACCTTTGGGCAAGTGCTCTGCGCCCGTGCAACACCTCAGCCCGGAGCAGGGCAGCGGCGGGGAGGGGAAGGGCTGTGCAGGGTGAGGGAGGGTGACGGCTGCTTCTGTCCTTCCAGGGCTGCCCCGAGGCTGGGAGGTGGACACGACGCTGCACGGGGGCTTCTACTTCATCAAGTAAGTGAGAAGGGGCTGAGGGGGAGAAGTTCTGCCTCCTGCTCGGACTGCCACGGCACCCTCGGAGGATGCTGCTCCCTGGGCTTGTCTCTGCCCAGAGGCGGCTGCTACCGAAATGCAGCGTGGGCTGCTGGCCCCTGGGCCCGAGGAGCAGCCGGGCAGTAAAGGTGGCGTTTGGGAAGCTTTGGAGCACAGCACTTGCTAGAGGATGGGGTCAGGGTCCGCGCTGCTGGTGCGTGTCGGGCGTGGGTGGGTACCCGTGGCTCTGCTGTGGCTCGTCCCACGCTGCTGTGGCTGTGTCGGTCCCGCAGCCCTGGCAGCTGAACAGACGTGGAGCTCCCCGGCTTTAGCAGAGGGCTAAAGCTCGTGCCAGCACAGCGCAGCCAGGCCAGGCTGGACTTACCTGTCCATGCTGTGGCAGTCCCTCTACATGACTAGCAGGGACCAGACCCAGCTCTGGGCTCCATCCTGCACCTGGATGCCACAACCGGCGCTGCTGGGACAGGTAAATCTCACCCTGTCCCTGTGCACAGGGGAGCTCCTGTGCCGAGTTACCATTTCAGATGCAAATGTGTCTCTTCTGAGGGCTGTGGGAGCTCCAGGGTGGCGTGGGCAAGCCAGCCAGCCCCCAGCCCTGCGTCATCCCTCGGGGAAAGGTCCCCCAAAACCCAGTGGGGACTTTCTCCAGGGCCTTGCAGCACCCTGCCCCTGTGGGAGGGAGCTCGGGGGTGCGGAGGGTCCACGGGGCACACACTGCCCAGGGCTGAGCTGGCTGTGCTCGCTGGGGTGAATGCAACAGGAGCGTAACTCAGTAAGGATCTGGCCCGAGGTGCTGCTCCGAGAGCCCCAGTTTGTCCCAGCAGGTTGTTTCTCATCGCCTCTTGCCCCCCTCCCTGCCTTCAGTCCAGGAACTGGGACCCTGGCGGGGTGATGCTGGTGTCTAGACAGGCTGAGCTGCAGGCTGCCGCCTCGCCTCACGCGGGGCTCCAGGCCCTGCCGGGCGAGGGTGTTTCAGACGGGAACTTTGAGCCCGTCCCTATCTGGCACAAACAGAGGCTCCTCTGTGTGCCCAGACGGCAGTAAACCCAGCGAGAGCAAAGATCCCAAGGTGGGTTGAGGGCTGGAGCAAAACCCCGGGATTATCTGGGTTAATCCGTCGGGCAGAGCCAAGGTGTCCTTGAACCAGCCCTGTGTTTGAGTCGCGCAGGCACAGACGTCGCCGGCGGTGGGGCTTGCTGGGCGAGGGCTGAGGCGGCGAAACCTCCCGCTCAGGTTCCAGCGGCGTGCCTGCAGCACGTCTGCGACGCTTCCCCACGGCAAGGCCCGTCTTCCCCATCGCTGCCTGCTCGAACGTGGCGGCGTGTCACCCGTGTCTGCCGTTCCCCGTGCGCCGCGGCAGCTGTGGGAAGGCCCCAGCGGAGCGGGTCAGGGCTGGAGGTGGGGGGCTCCAACCAGGAGCTTCTGGTCCCCCCACCTCACCCCAAGCCCTGGCTGTCGCTGCCTCCTCCTGCCTTTGCAGCAGCACCCACAAGGTGGCATTGAGGCTGGCGCAGCGGTGCATGCCCTGCACGTTGCTGCACACGTGTGCAGGGCCCGGCTGCAGAGAAGGGAACCGCTGGCTCCGCGCAATGCCGGGCACCCCTGTGCCAACCTGGGGGTGCGGGAGGGCAGCACTCAACCCCCTGCCCCGGCTGAGTGCTCTGCGGGGAAGCACTGCTGATAAAAGGGCTCTTTTCCACTCTGCTCCTGGCTCCAGCTCTCTGCCTTGGGAAGAAAAGGCCCTGCTGAGTCTGTGCCTTCAGGCTGAACCCTGCACCTCTTGTCTGTGCAGGGGGACAGGGAACAACCGGCCCCCACCCTGGCTGGGGTGCTTAGGGCTGCCTGGTCAGGCTGGGAGAGGGCTCCCCAAGTTGTTCATGGGCTTCCTGAGCTGTTTTCCAGCTCTCGGGGCTCTCCTGGGTCTGTCTCTTATACACAT